TTCATTACCCATTTAAGCCGTCTCCAGCCATTATTGAATATATAGCTTACAACAATATATACAATTTGATAAAAATATATTCAGTATCTTGCGTGATATTTTCATCTTAAACTGATAACCTGACAGATTTCTCTGATAGAAATACCCGCGACTAGCTGCAGGTTCGATCCAGTGATTTAAGTGAGAGTATTTGACTGAGTTTTCGAAGTTAGTGTGGAAACAGTGGAAATGAGAGAGTCTGGATACTTGAATTAAAATCAACAAAATATTTATTCGTTACGAAAACATTGAAAACGGCGGACAATTCTCACTCCAAGTTATACGACCGTTTGACCTGAAGCTTTAATTACCCCAATACTGAACGACCTTCGGAAGGTCTTCTTTCTGCAAAAACTGATACAAATAATGCGTCTGAATTTCAAACATCAGCTTGTCCAGCGGACAGCGTCACGTCGTGACCTTTGTTCCCTGACAGCATCGGCCAGCTATCAGATTTAGTTGGCATCAAAGACCGACCAGGAAAGGATATTCCTGTTCTAAGTAGTTTTAACCGAGGCTCAAATGCACTGAAATATCCTCGCGGTCAGAAGACGCTATCTAACAAAAGAACAAAGGGCTGAAGTGGCTAGAACAAGATTAAATTATACACCTTGGACCACGTGTTGCTGCCATGACAGTGCAGAAACTACATAATCAATAATTAAATATATATATATATATATATATCAGTACAGCTGGTAAAGGGTCATGACATTCTCATATACTACAATTACAATGTCAGCATGCGGTGACTGTTATAAATAATGAGACTTATGTGTGTAACACTAGGCAATAAATACTAAAACTTATGTGTGACACGGGGCAATAAATACTGAAACTTATGTGTGACACGAGGTAATAAATACTGAAACGTATGTGTGACACGAGGCTATAAATACTGAAACTTATGTGTGACACGAGGCAATAAATACTAAAACTTATGTGTGACACGAGGCTATAGATACTCGGACTCGTGCGGCACGAGGCAATAAATACTGAGACACGTGTGGCACGAGGCAATAAGTATTGAGACATGTGTGACACGAGGCTATAAATACTGAAACTTATGTGTGACACGGGGCAATAAATACTGAAACGTATGTGTGACACGAGGCTATAAATACTCAGACTCGTGCGGCACGAGGCAATAAATACTGAGACACGTGTGGCACGAGGCAATAAGTATTGAGACTTATAAAGTTTATTTCATATCATAGAAGACTTGACGTAATCGCTTAGATCGTGATGCCGACATCTATACAAGTATAATTGTACTGTTTGTTGTTTGTCCATGTAACTACTTCACCATGAAGCGCAGAATGTATGGCTTGTGTTTCGATCTGGATCATGAATATATTGGCTAGAATGGGCGAAACAGGATTGCCCATACTTAAACCATCTATTTGAAGGAAATGTTCGTTGTTGAAAATGAAGTTGGTTTTAGTCGTTGTAAATTTTAGAGAAGTAAAACGTGTGCTGGGGATTTGCATTAACTTGTTGGGGTCATTAATGTAGAGGTTGAGTGCAATATTGTAAGCTTCATTGGCGGGGACTTCGGTGAAGGCTTTCGAATTTAGTTGTTCTAGTGTATATTTGAAATTGAAGGCATCTTTAAAAAATGAACCTGCAGATGTTA